CTGTAATGAGATCTGGTGCCCTCTTCTGGCCTGCAGACATACATGCAGGCAGAATACTGTATACATAATAAATAAATAAATCTTTTTTTTTTAAAAAAAGGATAAATTGAGGAAATACACTTACGAATACAGAACAGAGTAGAGAGCTGAAGTTGTCCTCTGATCTGACGGGGAGCAAATCCACCTCGCAGGCAGTAGGGAGGAGGGACATGTGTCCCTTCCCCCTTTCCTTATAAAAGGCATCGTATAACAGCAAAAAGCATCAGCTTCTTTGGGCCCTGTGGCCCAAGGTCATGGGCAGAGCAAGTACCACTACACAGGTGCCCTTAGAGGATCCTCTGGAACTAGAGTTAGAGGTGGTTGTGAATTGCGTGATGTAGGAGTTGGGAACTGAATTCTGGTCCTCTGGAAGAGCAGTATGTGCTCTTAACTGCTGAACCAGCCCCTGAGTCTAGTCTTCATACATGAGAACAGCTTTTCCCTATTGGGACACTATTGAGACACAATGATTGAGACTGCTAGCTGGCATGAGACTTGAATGCTGTATCCTACTGAACAATCCTCTACTCCAAAAGGTAGCTAGAACTATCCTATTACTGTCTCTGTTCAACATGTGAGAAAACAGGCGTTTCAAGAGGTTGAACAACGCCCAAGGGTCATTCGATTGAGTTCCATGCCTTGGTTTTGCAGAGACTTTGTCCTAAACTCTTCCCACTATATTGTGCCATGTCCTTGATGATGTTACTTTCTGGTAAGGGAACAGATATGGAGAGCGTTCTGAATGGATGTTAATTCATTTCTGTAAGATGTGTTCAAATACTGAGAAGCCAACTTGGCCTTTGGTTTACTTGGCTCCAGGCTTTGGCCCTGAGTGGCCACTCACTAGTGCAGAGCTAGGCTACATTGTTATACATTACTGAGTTCATTCTTTTTTTTTTTTTCCCCCAAGACAGGGTTTCCTCTGAGTAGCTTTGGTGCCTTTCCTGGAACTCACCCTGTAGCCCATGCTGGCCTTGAACTCACAGAGATCTGCCTGCCTCTGCCTCCCACATGCTGGGTGGGATTAAAGGCGTGCACCACCACTGCCTGGCCTGACTAGTTTTTATTACTATTATTTTATATGTATGGGTGTTTTACCTGCATGTATGTCCGTTCATGAGTACCTGGCCACATGAGTGCCTGGTGCCCACTGAGGTCGGAAGAGGGTGTCAGATCCTTCAGGACTAGAGTTGTAGACAGTTGTGAGTCACTATGTGGATGCTGGGGATTGAACTCTCGTCCTCTATAAGAGCAGCAAGTGTTCTTAAGTGCTGGGCTAACTCTCCAGCCCCCATTGATTTTTTTTTTTTTTTTTGTAATGCTGAGGATTGCACTCCAGGCAAGCTCTCTGCCAACAAGCTGCATCCCTGTTCCCACTTCTTGTCATGCCCCCACCCCCACCCCCACCTCCCCACCCCCTGTGTATGTATATGTTTTGATTTTTGAGATGGAATTTTACTGTGTAGCTTAGGCTTGCCTATGTGACCCAGGCTACACATCTATAATCCCCCTGTCTCCTCCTTCCAAGTGCTGGGATTATAGCATGGGCCACCAAGTCTAACTCATGTTGAGGACTCTTTAGGCCTCATTCTCGGGGTGGGTGACAGCAAGTGATAGGCTCTGTGTAGGCAGCCACACTGCAGACTGTGTATAATAGGTAAGTGTGAGCAGTCAAAAAACACGAGGAGAAGACTGAGTTTCATAAACGGTGTATTCCCACCTGAAAACTCTCTTCCGCGAAGCTCCATCCTTGAGGTGGTTTTCGTCTTCACTGGGGGCCGGGGTGATGTGCACTAATGACCTTTCCCCTCGTTGGCTGTCCCAGCTCGCGGCGCTCTTTCACCACTATTATCCCATTGAGATCGACCCACACCGGACCATCAAAGAGAAGTTGCCTCATATGGTACAGTGGTAAGTGGCACCGACAGGGAGGAGCTCCTGTGATTCAAGATGGAGTGAGCCAGCATGACCAAGGCAACTTAGAGAAGAAAGGGTTTTTGGAGGGAGGGCTTACAGTTCAGAGGGTGAACTCATGACCATCGTGTCAGGGAGCTTGGCAGCAGGAAGGCAGGCTGGCTTTTGAAACTTCAAAGCCCACCACCCATG